GCATGGCACCTCTCCTTGTGGACTCCTCTATTACTTGGAGGAAAAATTTGTTATCGACACATCCCAGGAACTTCCTGGATTGCTTGCACTCAGCTGCATTGTTCCTCCAGCAGATGTCAGGGTGGTTGAAGTCCCCCCATAAGGACCAGGGCCTGTGAATGTGAGGCTGCTCCTATCTGCCTATAGAGGGCTTCATCTGCTCGGTCTCTCTGGTCAGGTGGCCTGTAGCAGACCCCCACTATGGTGTCCCCTGCCCCAGTGCTCCCTTTAATCCTGACCCATAGGCTCTCAGTGGGCTCCTCCTCCATCCCCAGGTGGAGCTCCATGCACTCCAGCTGGTCATTGACATAGAGGGTGACACCCCCTCCTCATCTGCCCTGTCTGTGTTTCCTAAAGAGCCTGTACCCTTCCACCCCAATGATGTCTAGGAATGATGAAATTCCATGGTTGTGTAAAATTTACATTAACCATGCCAACTATTAATTTTGGCCCTAGTGTCCATGGCATTAAAAAGCTTTTGCAAGTGACCCTTGTACTGTGGCAGTGTCACAAGGCAAGCCAGCTGGCCTGCAGGAACCCCAGGCGGCAGGAGAGCACGGAAGAGGACGTTACTGGCAAAGAACGCAAGATGCTCTCATGGCCATCTTTGTGAACTCTTGGGGACTATGTTGCATCGCATTGTCTGTTCAATTTCTCTTCCTTAATGTAACGCTTAATGAATCCTCCTGAATCTTTGTTGCAAACATAGATGATTCAGAACCGGGGTGTCACAGGGATGTGAAAGGTCTCTGAGTCACCTCTATAAGCATCGGTGTGTTATCACCCTCTTGTGTTGCAAATGCTCCCACCTGCTGGCCAATTATTTCTCCTCCCTTGTGCCCTTCCCAAAAGCTGCAGAACAATGTGTGGCACTGTCTGGCTTCACTAGACCCTTCTGCTCTGGGCTTTGCTGGAGGGGAAACAGGAGGCCGGCCAGTGAGGTTTAAACGGCCAGAGGTGGTGTTGAAAGGTTGGGGTGGAGCCAGGCAAACCCCACTGTTTTATCTGTTGGGTAGATCTGATCTATGCACAGATCTATGCACAGATCTCAAGTTTTGGACATAGAGAACTAACGGTTTGATGGTCACAGTTGCATCTCAGTGGGCACACCGAGACTGCGTGATTCAGCTGGGTTAAACAAGGTCATCTGGACCTCTGATAAATGCCAGGAGGACTGATATTCTCCTAGGAGCGCAGAAAAGTGAAGTTACAAGTTTCCAAAAGATGGCATTGGGTTAAAGATTACGTCACTTGCATCTGTAAATGCAGCCCGGGTGCGGCAGAGCAGGCAGGGTGCGTGTCTGCAGACAGACTGGAGCTGCCTTCTCTGGCTGAGTGCTTACGCTTGGAGCTGTACTTAGGTTTTTCTCAGTCTAGGTCTGTTCTTTGGGTCCTGGTGGTTCCTTACGCCCTGACACAGTGCCTCTTCCCGCTCAGCCTGCGCCTGACAGCTCAGCTGAGACGGGTTTTTTTTTATAGCTTTGCTACAATAAAACACTCGTGCATGTTTGACATTTCGAACATGCTTTACTGAACTTGTGGTTATAAAGGTAATTTACAATAAAGCAATTAAATAAACAATAAGTTAAAACACAGTACATTTATACATAGTATTTCAAAGGGCTCAAAAGACTATCGGGTTCCAATACATTAAGACTTTAAAACAACATTAAGATTCAAAGTGTATCCACGCCTATACTGATCATTGTAATAAGTTTCAAGACTCCCAACAACGTACATTTTTGGTTACAGTCCCCATATGCGCACAAGACCAGTGAAATGCTCAAGCAGTTGTACGATTGAGAAGAGCACTACACGAGACAGGCACGAACGATGTGCTGGAAGCTGCCTGGGGAATAGGGGTTTTACCTCTAAATTGAATTGACACTTCGGACAACAAATGGAAAGCGCTAGCATGCTTTCTGGAGCACGTGTGTGATACACTTATGGGAACGAGCCTCCATGTCACTTAACACTGTAGTTTCACAAATGTTTTAGGTTAGTGCAGCCTAAAGAAATACCCCACCTTTCCCTGGCCATTTGTTCCCGTGTGCATCTCGCGCTGCCCAAACCAGCCAGGGAAAGTGACTGAGCTTAATGCTAACTCAGCAAACAAACACGGAAGAGCGCTAGCTGTAATTCTCTTTGATGTCCCTGGTCATGTCCACTGTGCAGATGCACTGGCACCAGAAAGACACCAGCACAGAAGAGGGTCACAGTGCCTGGGCGCAGGAGGACTATTTCTGTAGGCAGCAGTACTGTTAAAAACACCAGTTAAAAACATCTTGTGCAACTACAGTGTTCAGCTTTTTAATTTTGACACAAGAAACATGTTTTCGAACTGATTTATAGTGCAAATCAAATAGTCAAAAGCAAAATGATGGACTCTGCCAGGATATACATTAACTTTTTATGATCTCTCTCATCCCTCCTTCTCTCTGCCTCAGCCATTTGGTGCCCAGGGACAGAGTGGAATTTAGGTTTTGATATTGAAGGGTGTACGGCGTAAAGAGTGCAGGGCCACCAGGCAGCAACCACGGAGCAATGCTCCAATATTATAAATGGGATCTGTTCCTCCTCTCTGAGTACTGAAAGCCCACATGATAGTTGGTACAACAGGGGCTGCTACAGCCAGAACATCTTTGAGAAGACTGCTGCTCCAGTATCTCCTTTTTATTCCTGTCTGAGAGAAAGTGTTGACATACCCAAAGGCTTCCTCATCATGAGATTCTGTAAAATCAAGTTCTTTCATGAAACGGTTTTCATTAACTCCGTGCTCCACCTTCCTGCATGGAGACTCCACAGGAGACAAAAGGATGGCAGAGTTGGGATCGCTTGGAGTTAAGTCCACTATGACACCAGAATCACTGAAGCTTCCAAGAGAAAATTCACCCAATTCCTTCAGTGAAGAAGGTGGGCTTAGAGGACAGGCATCTTGAGCTCTGAAGATGTTTTGAATGAGCTGCTCCACATCTAGGCTATATGGCACCACATCAGTCTGGACGGCCTGTTCCACCATCATGTTGCTGCTTTTCTCCTCCTCCTGGGAAGAAGTTAGTTTTTCATCAAGCATCTCTTTATTCACAGCAGAACTGTGGGGAGCTGGATCACTCAACTCGGAGGTTGTGGTGGTCAAACTCTCTTCAGATGAATCAGTCCTGTTATCTGTGTCCTCACTAAGAAGTAGCCCACTATCTGCCACCTCCTCCAGAGCTTGGTCCTCTGTGCTGAGGCTGTCTGGCATCGTGGCACACAACGCTAACGGCTTCCCCTCCGAGTCACACGTGTACTCCAGGCAGTGCTCATCTCTCATAGAGCTGTTCTGAGCCATCTCCATGCTCTGCAGCAAAGATTCCAGTTTCTTGTTTTGAATGTTTATGTCTATGAAATATTTCTGAATTTTTTTGTCTTTCTCAGCCAAGCTGTTTTTCATGGTTTCAATAACCTGCTTGAGTTGTTTAATTTCGCTTCTTGCTTCCTTTAAGGCCAGCTCTGCCTCCACACGATTACACTCTTCTTCAATCCAGTCTTCCCTCATCCGTCCCAGCTGAGCTTTGAGCTCTTCTATTTCTGTTTCCCTGTAGCAAAATAAAAATGGTGTAACATTTCTGCTGACTGGTCAGTGAAAAACTCAATGGGAGGCTCCACCGCGCTGGGATGGCTATGCTGCAGAGATGCTCCAAGAAGGAAGCAAATTCCTCCATGCATCATTTGCTGCTGCCTCCGAGGGAGCTGGCAGAGGTATAAGCCAGCTGCCAAGACACGCTGGCTGATGGCTAACTGCAGTCACTGACCTCACCACACAGCTCGCAGCCTTGTGATCTCAGGCGTTTTGAGGTGCAGATGGTGACCTCTAGGTTAGGTCCAACCCGTACACCTACAACATCTCACCTACTGCCTCGCCCTGGAGGAAAGGAGAATCAGCTGCCCAGATGTGTTCCCCGTACCGGCCAGCAGCTCGTCGCTACAGCCAGAGCCCACGCTGGCTCAGACAGCAGGACGGCCCGGGGCTGCGCGCACCCGGCTTGCTTTGCCCAGTGTGGAGCCAGGGACTTGCAAGGAAGTTGGGAAGGGGGCCCCTATGTGAGAGCCAACCCTCGCAGATGCAGAGGTTGGGCTATCCCGAGCTGGACCACGGGGTCCCTGGGATGCTGCCTTGGCACTTGTCCAAAAATCCCAAACCACAGCACTATACCAGCTACTAGGAAGAAAAATTAACTCTATCATCTCAGCTGAAACCATGATGGGGCTCCACTCAAACACCCCTTTGTGCCCGCCTGGGTTATGTGTGCTGGAGAGCCAGCTCTCAGAGCGCGGTTTTAGTAAAAGAGACAACATCTGTTGCTGTGTAACGTGCATTGTCACTTCTTTGCTCAGTGTCCATACAAAGGGCTATTGTGAAAAATTCAGTATCTATCTAAGTGACAAAACCACAAGTGGATGATGGTTTGTGTAAGAGCTTTTCTTTCACTGGGGGAGAAGGGGGACATTTGTAGTCATATTTCACTGACTGAGGTAGAACAGGAAACTAAGGCAATACATGCTGGCAGGTAGAAACTGTTTTGTGTATAAAAGGTCTCAATGCTAAATCAGACTGGTAAAAAAAATCTTTTAAAAATATTCTATTCTGAAAGTTCAAAAAAGGGAAAAGAAACAGCTATATTCAGAACTAAACTGCATGGTACATATTCCCTGAGAGAATGCTATGAAATGTGAAATACCTGAAAACAACCTAATCAGGCTGATCATATTTCAAATTTCTTAATGAAAACTTTATGTGGTCAAGAAATGAGTAAAAACGTTTAGGATTCCCACTTCTAAATGCTCCTGAATAAATCTTTCCAACTCCGATTTCTGAAGTGAAATTTACCTTTCTTTAAGTTTGCTCTCAGATTCCTTCAGCTTTGTTTTCAAATGCCGTACTGTAACTTCTTTCTGCTGCAAAGGAGTCAAATACTGCTCTGGATTTTGTGGCTTAATGCTGTGATTGTCACCACAAGAAATGTATCTCCCTGATCGCCTGAAAAGAAAAAAAAACACCAAACCATCACATCACATCACTCCTAGTTCTCCAGTCCTGGCAAAAATAAAAACACCCCACAGACTGATGCAAAGCTTGACCCATTTGGGGCTCCACAGTGTCCGCACAAGTGACTCCCTTTGGCAAATCAAAGTACTTGAGGAAACCACTGATTTGTGGCTATAGTGCCAAATTTACTATTTATTGTACTTGGTCTCAGTGCCATTACATCAGATGAGATATTTAACTTTAAAGTACCTCGCCATCCCCTCATCCGAAACGGGCGGTGTGCCCAAAAGCAGGCAGCTGGGCGGCAGACATGGCCAGGCGAGGCAGGGTAAGGACTGAGATCAGCTCCACATGCGAGTTAACCATGCTGAAACCCAGATTCATCCTACCTAGCTTTAGGTGTGTATCTATCTGACCTGCTGGGCTGTTGAGTTGCCTGAGGGAGGGGAACAGCAGCAGCGTGGTGGCAATTTCTTCTCTGCAATATGCATCTCATGGTCTGGCCGGCATCTCTTCTCTTTCCTGCGCAGGAAACTTGCACAGGGAGGTGCCTAAGGCTGGGCAGGGTGAATTTCCACCCAGGCGTACAATTTCTTCTATACTACCCCACCCAACTCTCTCCAAAGTGAAAGGACCCTTAGACAAAAGAACCAGTAAATCCCCATGAGTAAATCCCCATGATGGCATGAAACCACATGAAGGAGCCTGCCTCGGAGTGAAAACCGACTACAAAGGGCTTTGACTAAAAGTAACCTTCAATTTTACAGTGCTGAAACAATAAAGCTTTTACACGGGATGGAGCACCCTGTTGACTGTCGAGCCACCGACATGACGAGTCACACCTACGCTGAGGAGCAAGGCGACCTGCTCGGCAACTCATACAGCTGATCCCACGTTACAGTGCAGAGAAGGTAAGTCAGTGCGCTGAACACCGGGATGCTGGAGTAGAGACTTGCCTCATCACTGGGCTGCTGTCGCTCCCTTTGTATGAGCCTGAGTTGCTGCTGCTGGCTGAAGAAGCCCTGTAACTCTGATGGATGTTAGCAGGACTCAGCTGGTTTTTGCACAGTGTTGACAAAAGGTCCTTTTCATGGGAAGCAGGTGGGCTGGCTCCAGACTTGTAGGATAAGGATCCATTATTCCGACCATAAGGGCCACGACTGGAGGGGAACCAAAATGGTTAAAGCATATTGGATTATCCTTGTCACACAACCCATTATGTGTCTTATTTTACACACAAAGTTGTCTAAACACTAAACCAGATGATAGATAACTGTTAGTGACCGGGAAGAAAGAAAGTCCTGATGCCATCAGCCACTGCACATTCTTTCATGTGGGGCTCTCAGTCTGAATTACGTGATCGGGAAAACCTCGGCCATTTTCACATTGCCCTGTGGACAGCACAGTTCCCAGTGACTCCATCAGATCGTCCACGTTCCCTGAACCTCTGACTCCATTAAGCAACGAGAGGACTGCAGCCTGGATGACTGCCAGAAGAACCACACTTCAGCTCTCCCCGGCCAGCGCTGCGGAGAGATGCCCGTCTGGGGAGGTTTGCTGTAAGACTGCCTTCATGCTCCTCAGCAAGCAGCCCGAGGGATCACAGCGAGCAGTGAAAACAAATTTTGACTGAGCCACTGTTCTGTTCTGCCTTTGGCATACTGGGTGCCTCAGCTGTCACTGCCAGCTATTCATTTCCTTAGATATAGCTTGAACCCCACGGAGAGCAGACTGAAATGGTATTTAAAAAGACAAAGGAAAGCACAGCCTTTTCTTTCTTCCTTCCAGTTTCCCTCATACATATCTACCTTTCTTTTCCCACTCTATTAAATAAGCTGACTGCCAACTGTGTGTGCCTGAAAGCAATTGGCATCTGCACCGCCCCACAGCTGCCAAAGGGCCGGGGCGCTCTGAGGACAGCTTCTCGGGGTGCACTCCCCACTTGCTCACTTGGTTCGCCTTCCTGCACTGCTACGCTGCTTCCTTCATCCTCCCATGGAAGTTGTTCTTCTAAACTATAATGAAAGGGCAGGTTTCAAAAAAATACGGAAAAAAGCAAATCCAGCCAGCAAAAGAGAAGGCTTGAGAATCAAAATTTAAATACCACAGAATTATGAAGCAAAATCTCTTCTTAAAATCATTTGACTTGGTTTCCTCCCTTCTCTGAAAATGGAACAGTTTATAAGGAACAGATGGTTGAGTGGCTGCTGCAAACCTTCATCACACTGCTGTGGTTTGGGTGATTTTATAATTATTTTACAATGAAGTGCAGGACTGTGGTTTGTGACAACATTGAAATGTTTCATAGCAAGTTAAGTCAAACAGTTAAAGAAGAACATATTGCAAAGGAGACATCTCTTTCCACTGCGTACAGTACAGCATCAACTCTGGCGTGAGGTAGAACGTGCACGGACTGTGTGCAACACAGCAATGCATTTGAAGCAGCACTATTACATAGGACATATTACATATGATCTAATTTAAAGTTATATTTAAATGCACAATAATATATGAAATGATACATAATCTTACTAAAAGTAAGGTGATTTTAGGGCTTCATATTATACTTAGTGCTGTTTTTTCCCCACAGCCAGTAACTTTACTTGTTAATCTACAGAGAGCTTAAGTAATGATTATTTTTCTAACAGTCTCACGATACAGATAGGAAACTGCTCATTAAACATCATTCTGCTGATCTCTGTACACTGGGGCACGCTGCGACCCTGGAGATGTCTGTGGGACTTAAACGTACGGGTATCCCGCTGCTGGTCCCAGCCTGCCTGCCAGCTCTTCCACAAAGGGCAGGAAACCAGTCCTGGCGATTTGAACTCTTTCCACCTACTGCCAAAAAATGTAACCAGCAGGGATTGCGTGGGCAGAGCACAACGTACGCTGCTCCATCCCAACGGCCCCGTATTCACAAGCTGTCTGGATTTGCACTTCACACATGATAGCGAGAAATTTCACAGAGATTGTTTATGAAAGGTTCATTTAGATAGATGACTATGGTATTTTTTTTTATTTGCATACAGTTCCAGTTATATAAAGGTTGGGCAAGGGTGTTTAAGAAAAAAAACGTCAAAGGCAGTATTGTCTACTTCTTCCTACAAAAAATAAGGTCATGATCTGGAAAAGCACATGCGAAGCTGAAAATTTATTACAGAGAGAAAACAAAGTGATAAGAGCAAAAGGTTAACTGGTTAGAAGTACTGCTGTTAACTAACTTACACCCAGTTGTCTCCTCCTCCACTCCAGCCAATGCCTTGTCTGCCTTACCTGATTGTATCTGCCGTACTTGTTATGAATAAACAACAAAAACCTACCAGTCAGCTGATCTGGCATATTGACAATTTTTGTGCTCCAAATACAGCATTTTTTTTTCTTGCTCATATTACAGTTCTCATCAGTGTAAGTGCTGCCTGAGAGCACAGTGTTACTCAAATTGTTTTAAAACTCATGATACTGGTATTGTATGTATTAACTGCAAGCCCTTACACAGTAGTCTATCTTTGCACTAGCAACACTTGCAATATTCAGGAAAAATTGCTTTGCTTACTTGCGAGAAAAAGAAGATCTTTTGCTTCCAGCAGCGGACATATGGACTTCAGGAGCTGAAATACTGCCTGTGCTGCTTGAAGAGCTAAAATCGGCTTCACTCCCTGGAAAGGAAAAGGGAAGAGTGAAAACATGATGGAAATTATAACTCAAAGACTGTTTTCAAAATAACAGTGAATCACGAGCATCCTTCCTTTGTCCGTCCTGTGTGAATTTCAGAAGTTGCATGAATTTTCAAACATCCCTGAGGACAAGCTCTGGATCTGTTCCAGATTTTCAACATTTCTTCAGAACTGGCACTTCAACAAGAGCAGAAAAAAACATTTGGACACGAAACCCTCACGCTACAGAAGCCATTTTAGGCCTGGGCTAGGAACATTTGTTGTGACAACCTGTTTGCTTTCCCACAGCCATCACTAGATGAATGAGGCTGCTCACGTGGCTCCTTCAGGAGCTCAGTGATTAGGATTGCAACTGGAGATTTCTCCATACGAAAATACCACTTGCTGGGGGGGAAAGCTGCTTCTATTTTGGTTCCTGACATTATGTACACTTACATGTATATATGTATAAATGTGTATAGGCTAACAGGGCCTATACATATGTACACATGTATGCAGGTTTTCATGTGGCACAGCAGCATAGCAAGGCAGTTCTAATAGCCTTAAAATAATCCAATAATCACGTGTGGCTCTCAAGTGCTTCTCAGCTACTAAGCCATCTATCTGATTACTGACTTTCTATGGATCATGGCTTTTATTTCTCAAGCTCTGGCACACACAAGGAAAACTGCTCTCATTTTGCTAGGGCCAGTAGTGGCTAGATGTACTAAGAATGTCTTATCATCTGGAAAAAAACCCACCCTAAAGGTAGGATTCTTTTCAGTCTGTCCCTCAAATGGCAAATGTCCCAAGCTGTAGCCAGGTCTCACGCTGCAGAGCCACGATAGTGGATGACGACTTTACCGAGGGGATGGAAATAACTTTCCAATATCCTTTAAGCAGCCGGTCAGGGGGAACATCTCTCACCTGAGAATTTCTGGGTGCCGTCCCACGCACAGAGACCCCCGGCCAGCGGCTGCAGACTTACCACAAACCCCATTTTTGCTGTCTTTTCCACGAGGGGGAGATGCAGCTGCAGCTACCATCACCCCCTCCGTGCAGATAAGCCTTCAGGTGCACAATCTCTCTTAAACCCTCCGCAGAGCTGAGGATGAGACATCCAGCAACCACCCTTGCCATCCGGCAACTCTTAGCAACCGGTGTTAGCATTAGGCGTGTTCGGATTTAATCCAATACTTTCCCAACCTCACCAAGCCCCAGCGTCGGGATCAGCCCCCCTTTCTCTGTGCCTCTGGTTCAGCCCAGCCCAGATATTCCCCAGCCCAACTGCAAGCACTGAAGTGCAAAGCCTAGCTCTTGCAAAGGGCAATCCCCCTCTAACCAACTCCATGCCCAGTACAACGTCCCCCATAACCAGACCAAGACGCCACAGCTGTAACCAAAGTGCAAGTTCACGAGGGGAGGGAGGGAGAGCAGAAAGGCGCTTGGTTTCACAGAGTATTTGTATCACATCTACAGATGCAGATGTCAGTGACCCTCTCCTTGGGGAAGCGAAATGACCGTGGGACATGATGTCCAAAGCTGCAGCAGAGTTTTCCTGATAAACAAACCACTCCCATCTACGAGACTAAGATACCAAATACTGTCTCGGTATCACGCTATTCCCAAACCTACTTTTCCAAGCAAGACCCGAACAGGTAAACACATCGCACAGATTTCATACCTCTGGTGCTCGGGCACACAAAACATTCCTGCCCTTGCAAGATGCCAACAGCTTTCCAAAGCCAAGTCCTGGCTGTGGCACAGAGGGCAGGAGCTCTAGCCGAGGCTCATCTCTGGTTAAGCACACGACATCATAATCAGATCTCGTTATCGAAAGCATTTCAAGGAAGGAAGGTTTAATAATAGCCTCTCCCTGACCCGCCTGGCTGGGAGCGCAGTGCTGGGAAGTGCCAAGCTGGGCACTGCTGATAAGCGTCAGCAGAGCCTGAAGACGCAACCGCCTCGAAGGCTGAGCTTTCTGAAAGGCTGAACTGCATCTGGGACCAGGAACTGTGTCTGCAAAGCACAAATTAACCTTTCTGGCCCCAGTTCCGATAACAGCCGCACACAAGCTTAACACTGAGCGCAGGAGACGACTTATGCTTAAAATTAGCCATGTGGCTATTTATAGGCTCTTTCAGAACATTTTATAAATTAAAGGAGTCACTGCTAGTATCTGTTCCAAGTGTGTTAGTTATGCTCAAGCCAGCTCTGCATGTAGCAGAGCTCAACAGCAATGTTACTAGGAGACTTTAAAAAATATTTTCTCTCATTTGGTAGACATCTCTAAGCAAAATAGCATGGCATTTATCCATATAATATCAATTGCAACATATTCTCCTGGGTAAATGTGACTTCTATCTTACAAATGTCTTAAAAAAGAGGTGAAACTCCTTGCCTAGCAGCAGTATGGGCAGGAGCTGAACATGGCCTCTAATCTTTCCTAATGCCGTTCTCCAGGCTGACAGCTCCCTAAGGACACCTGTTGATTATTTTTGTCGCTGTGACAATGTGATTGTAAAAGCTCACACATGTAAGCCCCAGAACAGCCTGCTGATTCAGTGTCAACCGTGAAAGAGCTTGGCATTTCTGAAAAACATATTATTTTGTCCTAACTGGCTATAAGACTTGTTTTGCCCTGATGTGAGATTTCCCTGCCTAAGACCACTGTCTTCCCCACCCTTTCCTGCAAAAGAAGCTATACGTTGAGCTGCCGGCTTCAGCAGTATCTCATCTGAAATTCATTCACATGTATCCCTCCATGCTGCCGCTGCTCAGCGACACACCACTAACAGCCTGCCGGCAGTACACTCTGAAATGCTCGTGCTGCACATACGGCATCCGATGCCAGGAGGGCCGTTCCTCCAGCCTCCCCCCGCCGCGCAGCGGGCTCTGGGCAGCAGCACGCCCACGCCACGGGAGCGGAGCTGTGCACTGCAACAGAACTGCTCTGTGCAATGGGAAGAACAACACAAGGCTGGCCAACAAAGTAGTGTAACATTTTCCAGGATCGCTCCCTGCCTGGAATGGGCATCTGAGAAGCAGGACTGAAATCGTGCAGCTTGCAGCGCTGTCCCTGCACTTTACTGCTCGACGGGCAATGGCACCGAGCTGAGAGCACGCTGCAGACAGCATCATGCTTTCTGCTGCCTTCAGCCTCCTTGCCGCCCTGACAGCACCGCAACGGTCACCCAGCTCCAGCTGACGCGGAGGGGAGGAGAAGGGAGCCTGCAGCCCTGCGACTGCGTGCTGCTCCACCCGTGACGAGGAGTGCAGGCAGCGTGGGCAGGCACAACCCAGGCAGAGGCAGAGAGGGCAGCGACCATCCGACGCATGGGCTCATCTGCGCCATCGGCAGGGACCACAGCTCAGGGAGCTAACGCCGCCCTGCTGCAGCATGGGAATCAACTGGGAAACCTCCTACTAATTACCCAAGGGCAAATTTCCCATCCTGCATGTGATGCAACTACAAATTTCAGGGCGGGATGGAGGAGAGGGAGAAAGAGCTGCCTGTGCAAGAGCCAGTACTCCCCCAGCTGGCACTGCTGCGTGTTTATCCCATGCCTGCAGTGCAGCCCTCATGCCTACATTTTGGGTGTAGAAAAGCCCCACCTTCAACTCTGCTCTCTGCACTGCCTCAGTCATAGTGCAAGGGTAATGGCGCAGTACAGCGACCACATCACACATTGCCTTCACAGCTTTTACAGGTAAAACAGATTAGGTGTATTTGGCCTACTGGGACAGTATGCAAACACAGAAATACCACGTCATGTATGTATGTATGTATATAGAGACATATAGTATATATATTTCTTACACAGAGTCACACAATAACCCCACATGCACGGCTGGCATATAGCATCCCAATCTGCTATTTCTAGCCATTACAGATGGTTGGATACCTTGCTGTACAGTCTTCTGGCCTCGATATTAAAATTTTGCTTGCATTTTATCATTTAATCTTTTTCCTTCTATAAGAATAAAGCTCAATCTTCCTTGTGTGCATTTTATTGTCTATTTGCTATCTAAATAGTAAGATTAAAATATGGAAAAAAGGAAAAAAGTTCAAATAGTATCTGTGACAGGAACATTGACAGCTGAGCAGCAGAAATGGATTCGCAAAAACTCAGGATGCCCATGAACTTGTTAAAATTTAGTCTTTTTGTGTAAGTCTCTCCTATTTGCAACTTCGCCACTGTTTCATAGATGCCAAAGCATATAAATCACAGAGCTTACCTATCTTCTGACTCCATAAACATGAACTCTTTTTTTTTATATATATATATATATCACTCTTCATGCTAGGTTTTGCCTATGGTCACCTAGTGAAACAGAGCTGTAAATAAAACAGTGCTGACATGACAGAGACAGCTTGTCCTCAAAATGTAAAGCACTAAAATTTGCTGACCTTCCTTGCCTTCAAAAGCATCTTGTTATATAGCAAAGAGACCAAAATATGCATATATGTTCACCACTCCAGTGCAGCAACTAGAGGACTCAGTGGCATGCTGGCTCTGTAGATAGCTTTATTTAGAGACCCCAGGGGAAGAGAGAGGGCTTGACTGCGTAAAAAATTCCAACAAAGCCATTAGAAGCCCCTAGAAAAGTAGAGAGAAATCAGTTGTAATGCCCACTATTGAAAGGACCTGTATTTTTAAGAGATTTGGTTTCATTTATCTTGAAACCTTTAACTCACAGCTACATCTCTAGTTCCAATCTTTAACAGCATAAGCAGTATGTTTCCAGGAAACACTAATGCTGCTGCTTTTCTATTTAATATGGGGTTGTTCCTGCAAGATTGCTTTTATACACCACAAACGATCTAGGAAAGAAACCCACGCTGCTCACATGCACTGACAAATGTATGGAAAAGAAGCTGCAAAGAAGCGATGAAGGCTTGCTGTAGCATTTCAAGCTTTTCTGCAGGTAACACCCTTAAAAATGACCCATTTTGAGGGCACAGTCTCCTAGTGGGAAATGTACTGGATTCACAGCCCATAGCTGACAGTGGGTTTTGGTTCCAGTTCCTGGCCTTTGACTTACTACTTTTTTGACTTACTATTACTATGTGTGACACTTCCCTTGGACTTACTATTGTATTTCACACCACACAGTACCTGGGTAAAAGCAGATACAATCCTGGGAGCAAGGAACAGGACACGGGACTCTCCTCCATGCGGATGCTCTAATCTTTGGGGGACAGAAGCTGCTCCCACATGCTCTCTCTCTGCCCATGTCTCGTACTCTCCACTGCCATGAGGTCCAGATGAGGAAGCTGAGGATGCCCAGTAGGTTGCAGTGGTTCAAGAACTCTTATGAGAGGTGTGGATTTGAACTCCCTCAGTCTAAGGAGGGCACTGAACTCAGATCTTTTCCCTGAGCTCTAACGGCTCAGCTGCGACACAAAACAGGGTGGTGGCACTACTGCTGGCCATATTTCCAAGGAATGAAACGTGCTGGTTGCCTGCACTCACAGGCATGGTCTAGCTCCAGTATGGAGTGAATTCAGAGTGAATCTGAGGCACACATGTGGGCACACTCAGGACTACAAGCAGGTGGCAAAGTCTAGGAAGACGGGCACTCCTCTGTGGCATCTCCTGTGGACTGGTGGAGGTGTGTTCCTGCCTGCCGTGCTCTCTGCTGTGAATTCTGGACTGTAGCAGCTAACTATCCCCTCTGATTTTATAGGCAGTTTAGTCACCCAGCTCAGATTTGTGAGCTGCGCTCCTACAATGATGGTGAGAAGCTGGGCACAGCAATGCCCGGCCTGGTGAACCCTAAGGGTACCAAGAGGCATCCCCCACCGCACTGGCCAGTGAAGCCATCACTCCTCGCTCTTCGGGGGACATCCACCCAACTGCTCACCAGTGCTCCCTCATCAGACAGATCTGTTAATCACATTTCAGCTGACTGCACATCGCAGTAACAGCTGGTAACTTGGGCAGCTGGCAAAGATACTGTCAGAGGGGATGTGGAGCAAATATTTCAGTGTGACTCTCCATAAATTCTTGAAACCTGCTGGATGAGGAGACTTCCAGCTCAGAACCAGGCAGAAAACTTTGGGGAGGAACTGCAACGCAGATCCTACTTCCCTGTGTTTGGATTGAAACTCGCTTTTACAAATGATCTCCTCAATTCAGACTGCTGGTTGTGTAATCTAAACCACTTATTTATCTTGATTTCTGCTCATTTTGCTTTCTTACTCTTCCTTCTTTGGAAGAAGGTTTGTTATCAAACAATCAAAATTTATATCATTAAGCAGTTTTCTGATCTCATCTAAATACTATAGTTCTGGTAGTAATCTGAACTACATTAATGCAAATTATAAGCACTGCAGATCTCAAAATGAATACAGAATGTGACTTGTGTATGCTGTGAAACCACAATCAATCAAGCTCTTCTCTAAAAACACAGCCACTACAAACTAATTACTGATACTGGCTAAGAGCCATCATGTATATTCTGCATATCACCATGATCTGGGCTTCTGTTTTTCTTAATTGTTTTTAATTCATGTACTTGTAGAGCAGCCACAAGCGGATGCTGGAACAGACAAAGAGCATCGCAAATTGGGGTTTTTTCCTGCCTTGTATATCTTAAGGAGATTCTTCATACAGAAATCAGCCTGACCTGATTATTTTTTGTGCTTTTATATGCAGTTTGAGCTGTTCTGAAAACACCTTAAAAATGGCTCCCATAAATTTTCTCTTCTCAGCCTGAAATGACCTTTGTCGGTGGAACATATGTTCACTGAGCAGAAGGGAACAGGCTGGGGAACTTACTTCCCTGTTCAAACAAAAAGGCTTTTTGGATCCGAGATGGAAGGATGCTACTTTGCTACACCAACCTCAACAGAAACATTGAGACTGCATGTTCAAAAAATACACTGATAGTTGAACAACATGATATTCAACTTGCATATGACAGTTTTATAAAATGTATGCATAAATCCACCTACAGACAAGTATCTTTTATAAGCAAGCATGTAGTGTCACCTCAGGAGATTTTTCACATACCTGGCAATACTATTTGGTGTGCTTGAAGGGAAATGGATAGGCTGGTCAGGAGTATTTTTAGGAGCTGGAAAATGTCATCTTTGGCAGGGATGACTTAGCAGTACACAGAAAGGGAGCGAACTCCATCGCAGACTGGGAAAACATCCCAGCCCTCCCATCACGTTGATGGCAGAAGTTTAACAAAGGGCTTTCAGAGGCCCCTTCAACGCATCTCCTAAATCTGGTTCCCATGCGCAAGGAGGAGAGCGGCCGGCTGGTGCACAGCAATTAGCTGCGCAGGCAGGCGTTCACAGCATATATGCAAATGCATGAAATCACATGCTAAACCTGATTCAGCTGAAAGCTTTTGCACAGTCACCCTTAATATAAGACATATGGGTTTCATTATAATCTGCATAAAACATTTTAAATCAGTTTGACATGTTTTCAACAGGGAAGAGAAAAACACTGGAACGAGAAGCATATCTGGGAGGTAACTAACTAAACAACCCTGCAGTCCCAGGACTAACAGCAAGATTTGTCATAAGCTAATCAAATATTTACTGTAATGCACATGTTGAAATGATTACAAAAACCTAATAGAGTTCAAGTGTCATCTATTGAAAAGAACAGTAAAGCCCTACCCAGTAGAATCACTGGTTGTCTAAACTGTATTTTTTAAAGTAACAAAGCCAAGGTAGGTCTGAGGGCCATGCATTTCAAGTCATGGCTGCCATCATTTGCTGCTTTTTTCCCCCCATTAGCACTCTTATCATTAAGAAGCACAAATGACAGACGAGAAGCCTGTGCTTTTTTGGCTTCGCAATCCTTGCAGGTCTGCGGTCA